CTCCGTTCACGAACAGCACACGACTCGTCGACTTCGCCATCTGATGGGTGCACGGGAGGCGCTCGCACTCCTTTCCCCAAGTGCCGTCCGCCTGGGCCCAACCTTGTGACCATGTGGACCCTCCCTCGCCTGCCGTTCGGGGGGGCGTCGTCGGCTTCTAGAAAAACCGTATTATAGCGTCAGGACACGGATGATACTTTGTCGAGACGCTCGCAGCAGGGCTTACGTATGCAGCACAGTAGCTCGGGGAGGCTTGTCGGCAGTGGACAAGACCGCACCGCACTTCTTGCCGTCGTTCATCGGGGGAGGAGACTAGTATGTCGCCAAAAAGAAAAGACGACCCGTTTTCTGGCTGTTGGTTGGGAAATGGCAAATTGGTGTCCAAAGCCTGCGTCGAGAGATTGCGTCCCGAGACGAGCCCTCGTGCCGTTGTCGCTTACAACTGTTTTGTGGGACGCCTCCTGATTCTCCCCGACTCCATCCCCAACGGCTTTTTTTTTCTTTTGCTTTTCTTTTCCTGCTCTCGCATATCTGGGACCCCCAAATATCCCCAGTGCCCCCGCCAAAGCTGCTGACAGACGGGATTTCGGCTTTGCCCATCTCCCAATCGGAGACGGGACCTTTGCAGACTATGTAGGGCCTTGGCAGTACGTACCTACCTACCAGCTTCTCAAGCATGAGAAGCCGCCTTCAACCGGACACACAAGACGCTTGCGCGAGACTTGGGGACCGCAGTGATTGGTGATTGGTGGTGGATGGGCTGGCAGATCGGCAGGCTGGGCCTCGCACAAGATTCTCCGCACGGGCGAAAATGCCGGTGAGTGACCAAGGGGGAAGCGAAGCAGCATGGTTGTGCCATTTTTTGCTGGGGAGGGGTTTATTGTTTTCCTCTTTCGGTCATTCGTTTCTCCACACTTCCTTCCGGAGCACACGGGCCACGCGTTCTAATATCACCCATGAAACGATGCAAACCTTGCTCGCAGGAGAAAAAAAATCCACTAACGTGGCGGACGTTTCTGCTATGCACAAATCCCATCATGCCCGAACCGAAAACCGCCGGGACTCAGCCCCTTTTTTAAGGTTACAAGAAAGTTCCCATGCATCCCGCCGCCATCAATGCGAGGTTTGGCAGAGAGACGAGACCCGACCGGCTGGAGGCGCGCCCCAGCGGTGTCATGTCAAGGCCCCCGTCGGTACAGATTCCAGGGATCACAAACCTTGGTACGGTGGATCCTGGTGGTACATCAGTTTGGCTTGGTTTTCCAAGGAAGAAAATGTATTTTGCATCCGCCGCACTAGGGTTTGTGATCCCTGGGACCTGTAGAAAAAAAAGAAAAAAAAAAGGCAAGCCATATCCCGGGCCCGCCGAGATGGGAAAATGGGCGACGGGCGGGGGGACGTCTGGGAGCAGTGGATAAAGTTCCAAAATTATCTCGATGCCCACCCAATCGCAACACAGCAGCCCTCAGCTTTTCGTCGCACCAGTTATAGGTGGGGGCCTTTAAACATGGACTGCGGGCAGGCAGGCTGTTTGTAGCAGCAGTGATTGGTGGAGTTGTATCTCCAGTGAGAAGAACAGTACCTATGAGATGGAATATATTGGCAGACGAGGCACCAACATCTTCACAAGGACCTGATGTCTACATACCAGGCAGGTGCCTACAAACACGCACCCTCTCTAAACACATTGAAGAACCTGATTCGTTCTCTGTCTGGGCTTTGCTTTCCCGGCAAACCCGGGCGTGACCGCCAGTTTGTGTGTCAGGAGCTAGAGTTGCTGACGGCCGTCAGGGGTATGACACGAACAGAAGAGGCGAAGGCGGGGGATCGCGTTCTGACAATCTTTGAATCTTTGCATGGGCCTTGCCTGATGCGTTGCGCAAAAAGTCAATGGCTGTGGGTTGTCGGGTGGGGGATCTCGCGCTCGGGCTCTTTTGTTTCTTTGAGGCTGGCACGTTGGCTTGTCGCCTAGCAAAAACCACAGTGACGGTACCGCTTGGGGCACCACCCTAGGATGGAGTGGTATCCGTATACTATACGGCGGCTACGAGAAATGGGGAAATCATATTCAGGACTGCCGCCGCCGCGCCCCTTGCCGCGTCTTGCGTCATGATTCTGCGCGAAGCCGACAACTTGATCGGTCTGCGGTAGTACGCACCGCTGCTGGTACCACCCTCCACGACTTTCCCATGGCAATACCAGCCGTCAATTAAGGGAAAACTCGGATATCGTGATTTGTATGCTTTTTGGCGAGCGAATGGACGCCAAGGCTCGCCCATGGTCCGTGGACTGAAACGACAACTTGACTTCCATGCTGGCAGACTAATTAGGTATGGGATGCCTCGACTTTTTTTGTCCACCGCCCGCCCGCGCGCGTGTGCCTTGTGACCCGAGAAGCGAGAGTGCTACGGGTGGGTTGATCAGGCCAGGGCAAACGCTTGCTCTGTCTCTGGGAGTGGAGCTCGGAGAGTGAGAAACTCGCCGAGACGACGCACCACTGATGCGCTTCTGCGCAAAACCTTGAACTGCATCATGATGCAGGCTGAATCCTAGAGGGCTTGTGGAAGCGAGCGAGGGTGAGGGGCTTGACCAACGAAAGGTCGGGGAATCCTCGCTCGGCAGGGGGGGGGATGCGATGAGAGGAAAAAGAAAATCGACTTGCGGGGGCGACAACCCGAGGGCGTGGGTTGGACCCGCCCCGCGCATTCCGACAAGGAGAAGGCCCGCCGCCAGAATGCTGGCGGGAAGAAGGCTGCTGGAACGGATGCTCCATGAGAGAGAGAGAGAGAAGCAACAACACGGACGGGCGAGTGGGGGGAGGAGGTCAAGGTGGCGGGCAGGCAGCAGCAGCGATATCCCGGCGCGGCGTGGGATGGCATTTGCTGGCGGCGATCTGCTCGCCCGAAGCGGACGTGGTATTGTTTCGGACAGGGCGCTGATCTTACACCGGTCGACCCTCCTCGTTTCTGATCGGAAACGCCCGCATTGGCGAATGCGATTACGGCGGGTAAATCGTCATTTTTTATTCCATTGCATTAGGGATGCGTGTGGCTGTGTGTGTGTGTGTTCTGTTTTCGTCCCTTTTTTTCTTTTCTTTTTGCCCCCCCGATTAGCCTTGCCTACGCTCTATACCGTTTAGGCCCCTGATTGTGCTGATCTTCGGAGGAAAAACGGAGGCTGAGCGCGTGGTGGTGCCGGGGTCGGGAAAGCAAGGAGAGATGGATGTGTTGCACGACAGATGTATGAGCAAACAGGTGGTCGGCATAAGAATTGCAATAGAGAGCAAAGATGCATAGTAATGAGAAACACTTGCTGGATGGGGCCGTTCCGATGATATCATCCCCGGGCAAATGCGCCTCCAAGGTGGTATTCCAAGATGGCAGAGGACACCTTGATCGGCACTGGCCGAGGTTGGGACCGACCAAAGAAAGATGTGTGTGAACCGGAAAGCGCCGCATTCTGTCTCACTTGGTGTACATAAATCCACATCTACGGGGAGCCAATCGCGCGTCGGAATGTCTTATCTCGGGAAGTGTTCGGGGTTTTGCTTTTTCTTTCTCAGCCTCCCAACAACGACATGGAATTTCAGCCTGGTAGACTGGCTCAAGGAGAAGAAAAAGGAAAGCGAAAACACCGAGGCGGAAGCGAGGGCAGCAGGACAAACTGTAAACCACACAAGCCCTCCGACTGGGTAGCGTTTGCGATCCACGTCGTAGCAAATAGTGCCATGCAGCTGGCCTCTTTTGGCCATGTGACATGCCGGGGGACGGCTCCCCTAAGCATTACGAGGGCACGGTTGAAGAAGCGAAAAAAAAAGAAAAAAAAAAGGCTCGACGTTTTCGTCTCGCATCCGTTTGTAGCAAGCAGGGTGAGCGGTAAGGGGGGCTGGCGGTGGTGGTGTGTGGCGCGGGCGTATACGTCGAGCGTGCGTATCGGCGGATCGTATCCTGAAGCACACACTGCCTTCCAAGAGAGGGATGATAGCATTTTGTCAGGTCGTCATCTCGGTATCGGCAGTGGGAAACAAAAGAGGGGGGGGACCCGATGCAATCCTTACGGGTTTTGTTTATACGTTGGTCTGAGAGGTCCATGTTTCCACGTGTTGCCGAGAGATGGATGTGTGGGTGTCGTGCTCGCCCGTCTCATGCCTGCCCTGCCTGTTCCATATCAGGGATTCTTTTATCCAATTAATTTCACCTTGGTGCCATCCATCCCTTGCGTGCTCTTCGTCTTCATTTATTTCCTTGTTTATTTTTTTTCTGTAGCTTCTTCCTTTGGAAACGTTATCCATCCTTCGAGCGGGGGAGCTCCATTCTCCCATGTCCTGGACGGGGTAAGGGATTGACCAAAAAGGGCAGGTTGCCGCTTCGGACCTTGGCAACATTCAGAATGCGGGCAGAAACCGTCGCCGACAAGACTTGAATTGATTGCCTCGCTGTCGCACCAGTCACGGCTGCCTAATGCAATTAGGAGATCTGCACGGCAGGCGAGCCATGATGTCAATCCAAATCTCCGCCGTCTCCTTGTTTGCTCACTCCTAGACGACGCTATCCGTAAGCTTCCCCGATGTCGCATGGCTAAGCCGGCCGGCTGTCAAAATGGTTGGCCCGTTTCTGTCTCTAGTACCAAAGTACTCTAGCACCAAAGTACCCATGCAACCCATGGACCCATGGCAGGCGTGTGGTCTCGGGATTGGGATTTTGGGGGGGTGTTCCTAGCCCGGCGTGTTGTGGTTCGTGCACGTGTGGGTGGCATCGGGGCGACGAATCAGGTGGTGCGGTGGTCGCCTTTTGCTCCAATCTCAGCCGCTTGTCGCTGATGTGGTGATCCAGGGGATTGGGATGGCACTAACGAGGATTGCCGGTCCCGTCCATTATTAGCCTTTGCTATTACATGACGGTTCCGGGATTTCGACCCACCCATGTTCCCACCCTTCGAAACGATCTGCCCAACTCTTTCTCGCTACCCTAGTTTTGAGTCGCTGAAGCTTCCTTTTTGTTCCTTTTTTTCTGCCCCGGTGTGTCCAAAATCTCGTATTTCCCGTTCCCTGGCCCTAGTTAGAGTTTTTTGCTGTCCAGTCGAGGCACAAACGACGAGCGCCCGTGCAGGGTCCCCGGGGGCAGATAGGGAGAGATAGAAAGTGAGAGAGAGAGAGAGAGAGGGGCCCTAATGCGGCAATGCGCTCGAGATGAGCTGGATGATTCCATGCGTGCATGCTCTTAGCGTTTTATCATCCGGCTTCGGCTCCCAGCCGAGGCGCATGGTTCGGCACATGAACACGAGCATGATTTCACTGCAGAGGGGGGAAGGGGGGGCACTTCTGAAGCTTGGCACGACGCTCGCTCGCTTGCTGCGCCGTCTGATTTGTCCCTTTCGTTTTAGCTCGGCATGGGGTGGTGCCCTCTTTTCCATGCTGACCATGACCCGGGCAGCGACTTCCCAGGAGGTGGACAAGGGACAAGTGGACCCACACAGCAACGGCCGAACTTTAACCTAACCAACGGCCAAACCGGCAGAGGCGGAGGGTGCGATTGAATCAGCTTCCCTGGGCTGGGTCCCTGGCAGTTGACTCGGCCGAGCCTTGGTGCGGGAGCTTGACCCGGCAGGCAGTGTCAGGCAGCGTCAGGTAGCGTCAGGTAGCGTCAGGCTGGAGTTGATGTCTCTCCCGCTGACTCGACCAGAGTCTTGGTTGCCGCGTGCAGGACAAATGGTTCGGGACGTGCATTCAGGCGATGGATCAGTGACATTCATTGGTCAGTGGCATTGATCATTTGATCACCGCATTAGCGCATCGCCCCGCGGGGGGGACCTGGGTTGCTCGCACGGCTGATGGGCGGGAGATATTGGATCTGGCATATTCTGGCATATTCTGCTATAGATCTTCTGCTATAGGGTCCTAGCCTCTGTCTGCGCCTGGCTGTATTGTATAGGTGGCTGTATAGGTGGCACGGGGAAATGCCGTATGGCAGGTGCCAAATATTGGTAATACCAAGAAATGTTCCGTAATGCGGCAGCCTCAATCTCACCACGGGCCCACTGTCTCAAATGTGCCTATGTTGCAGTCAGTCACGGGGCGCGTGCCGCACCACCACGGCGGCACAGGACAGAGATGCTACGGTACGCAGTAGCACAGGGCGATGCTGGAGGTAGGTGGTGGGTAGCACTCGAGGGAGGGTTGACGGTTGGCCGCGTGCGAGGCGGCGAGCACGACGGGCTTAGCAGCTGAGATAAGGTTGGGCAAAGCCAGGGCAAAGCCAGTCCTGCTGCTGCTGGGCGAAAGATGTGCCTACGGAAACGGGCGGGCGCTGCCTCCTCGAGCTCCTTTAGGCGGGAGCTATTTTTACGTCCCCTCTACCCCGAGGGCCGCTTAATTTGCCAGCCGACGTGCGGCTGGATTGAGCCTCGCCTGTGCCGGGTCTGGTGTGCATTACTGTATATCGTCAGCCACAAGACCGTATACAGCTCGCCCACCCCAGGACTGCCCGGCGGCCACTGCGCTCGATCCAGTGCTGAGTGCTGGCAACGCTGGCCAACATGCCGCCCAACAAAGGCAAATGGAAAGAACGCCACGGCTCGATGATCCATGGTCCATACCGGCCCTCGTTCCTGGGCCGGCAGGGGGCCAGCCCGGGCAGCTTGCTGTCTGTGGCAGTGTGGGCCCACCGTCGATATCCCCGACCCGGGCAGGCCTGACGGTACTGGACAGGGCCGCTGGCGACATTTCACCCACCCCCGCCCGGGGGAAAAGGGCAGGGGATATGGGCAGGGGTGTACTGGTGTTGGGGCCAATGCTTCAGCTCGGCTCGTGCGTTGCTTCATTTCCAGCCACGCAGACGCTGCCTGCCAAACTAAATTGACCCAGGAAGACGCCCGCCCGCACGGACTCCGCCAGCTCCGCTCCCTGATCGAAACGGGGGCCTGGGGAGGGTGGCAGATCGGGAGCTAGTCCAAGAACGGATATCAAATCGCCAGCAAGCAACCGCGGTTGTGATTACATGATGCTCCCCTCCTTTCTTCCCGCTGAAGCCGCGGCTGTTGCTGCCCTCTTCCCCAGGGTCGATTTGCCGCGGTCCGCATTCCACAGCGTCTCTCCCGGTCCTGTCAAACCGCATCTCATGCAATGGCCGGGGCCCTGCTCAGGAGAGAGATCTTTGCTGAAGGAGGAGGTCGGTTCGGCAGGCATCGTGGCACGCCCGCCTGGGACCGGGGCCTGTGCCTTTTTTTTTTTTTGTGCCCACCACTTTTGCCATCCGCGTGCCATTCTCCTGGCGCTGGGTGCGGCAATCTCATCTTGTCGCCTTTCACTTCTGGCCACTGACGGGAGAGGCGCGGCGCCTGTCAGCCGCCCGCGGGCAGCGTGGCCACTCACAACCATCGAACCCCCATTTCCTATGCCCCCCGCCCTCCCTATCGCTCTGCTCCAATCCCACCGACGGTGATGATCTCGCTCGACCAGTCGTCAGATCTGTGATCTCGTCGGTTGGCGCTGACGACGATGCTAATGCCGGCACTTGATTGGGGTTGCTGGAGCGCCCGACCGACAGGGATTGGCCAGGCTGGCGGGCTTCTTTGCCCGTGATGGAATCGATGGGTGATGCCTTCCGTCTTTGGCCGTTCTTTCCCCGCCGATATTTCGTCAAAAAGACCAATATTTCACAAAAAGCCATGCGTCTCGGTTGTCTGGACCCTTGTTCAAGCCCTTTCTGGCGGCGTTTGTGCGTCTGCTTTCCCCTGATATGGACGAGCCACGAGGTCAACGCACCTGCCACCACGCTATTGCTCCCTACCTATTACTCCCGACCCACCCTGGATGGCGGTTGTGCTGGGCAGGGAGTTGTGCGAAAAAAGCAAGTAAAAAAGAAGCGAAATGCGGCAGATGGACGAGAGGAAATCCCCGAAAAAAGGAAAGAAAAGAAAAGAAGAAACTCCACATGGCCACTATTCTAAACGGCTCGGAAACATTCAAGACGCCAAAAAGATGCCCGACGTCGGTTCAAAGTGCGAGCCAAAGCTGGACGTGGACGGCAATCGCCATATCCAGACGCAACAAGCGGTCGCTAATCAGTGATTGCTAATCAGCGCATGGCAGCCCTGTCCGAGATGGGCGGCGGGCATTACCCGAATCCCGCGCGCATTGCTTAGGTGCTGTGATATTGGCCAAGGGAAACAGTCGCGAGGCAATCTGGTCAGATCGAGGAGGCCCGTTTCTTTTTCTGCCCCGTGCAACGATGTAGGCGGGTACTCTTGTGCTGCGCATGCGAGGGGCCGGGCTCGCTACCCTCGCCGACCCAGCGAGAGAGAGAGACGGAGAGAGGGCGCGGCCAGCCAGCCAGCATCCGCCCGTGTGCATATACGTACTGGCTAGTGCGCTTGAGACTGGGAAGGGGAAAGTAGTAGTCGTCCCTCGGCTGAGCCGAGCGTCTGGGCAGCGTGTGTGTGTGTGTGTGTGTGTGTGTGTGTGTGTGTGTGTGTGGGAAAGGGTGAGTGTGAGTGTGTGTGGTGCATACCGGCCGGCTCAGCTGGCTGCTGGGGCCGGGGTAGTCAGAATGGCACGCTGCGCGCGCTAGGGTGACCGCCGCCCGCCTAGGCACGGCTCGCTGGGTTCGTCTGGTCTTTTTTTTTCTTCTTTTCCTGTTCCTGTTTGCCGGCCGCGGCCTGGTCTAGACGTGCTGGGTTGGGATGCATTTGCTTGGCTGCACAGAGAGGCGGCGGCTCATGCCCGGGTAGCCTCCCTCCCAAGACTCGATGGGGGTGGGATGCCATGGTGAGAATGACACCGGCAGGGCTCGTCCGTCAGCACCTCCATCTATCCTCGGTACGTATCGCCGGCCTGTGAAAGCACTGCCCCCGGCTGGGAATGCAGAGTACCTAGGTATCCGACTTTCCCACCTCGCGACATGACGCCCTCTTCGGTCCACTCCCCCCAAAGAAAAAGCGAAGAAAGGGCCAAGAGGGAAGGGGTGGTGGTGGTGCACGCCATCCACGCCATCCATGCCATGCCGCCATGCCGCCATGCCGTCTCCTGCCCTGCCCTCCCCCTGCCGATGGAGACTTGCCGACCTACCTAGGAACTTGGCCTGCATGCGCACTTCCTTCCTTCCTGATTCCATCCAACAACACAACTTGGAGATGCAGTCGAAGCGGTGCGCTAGTCCCGAAACCAGTGGAAAATCAACGATTGCCTCTCCCGGGGCTGACCCCTGCAACGCTAGGCCACCCAAGGCCACCCTGATCCTGGTCCTTGCCTGGCTTACGCCCACGCCCCATGCCATCCGGCACGGTAGGGGGCTCTATGCCTTTTTTCTTTCTTTTC